AAGCGTGAGGAGGCTGGTGCCAGCAGACACACACACACAAGGCTGGCAGGGCTGGAAGTGCCCCCGCGCTCTTGCCAGCACCTCGCAGCCGCGTCCCCTTCTACACCGCAGAACCCCCCGCTTTTTGCACTGCAGGTCACTCTCTCTGCACGGCGGCGCACCGCCACCTGGGCTGCGGTGGCAGCAAACGGTGCAATGCAACTTGGTATGAGCATCCCTATGATGGACGCAACACTCTATGGCCCTTGCGCGATGGCGGCGGTGACGCACTGGAGCTGGCCTACCCAACAGCAATTCTTTTGCAGAACTCAAGGTGCGGGGTGCCGACTATAGGGATGTGCGCTTGTGCATGATACTGCATTGCCCTGGGCATGACATCGCCAGCCTCACCCCTCAGATTGCAATGCACACGTCCGTTGTGCGCGTGTGCATGTGTGCGCACACCGCACCCACACTCAAGCTCATATCTCAGCACACTTGCGATACTCAACACACGCTTGCCCCCTCCCCGCATACACACACACACACACACACAAGCACACACACGCACATACACACACACACACACACACACACGCGCGCACACATGCACACATACACTTTGCAACCATCTCGTGTGCGCGTACAGGTTTGAAGATTATGTTGGATCCCTGTCAACACACGGCGCCCACGGCTCGTGTGAGGCAACCCTAGCGGCTGTGAGTTGACCCAAGCGGCTGCGCCGTTGTGACGCGCGACTTCCTGGCAACGGCAATGCGCATCACAAGCAAGCCACTGCCCAACGCGTTCGTGCGGTGCATGTCTCATTGACCTCGCGCGCATTTTTGTGGTGGTCTCTGAAGCCCTTGACCAATGGTTGTGGGATGTGTCTTGTGGCTCACACTCATGAGCTAGGACTTGCCGATCACGGCAGAGGAAGTAGACGCAATGCAAGCATGAGTTCCATGTTTAGTTGCACATTCTCGTGCACGCACTACCCCCCTTTGTTGTGGGAGCTGTGCTGGAACGTGTTGGTCCCGATTGGAATGCTGCAGCCTTAGCCTTCTTGCTCAGCAGCGTGTTGCGTGCCTGTGCCGTTGGCGGCGCGCCCACGTTGCTTCCCCGTGGCTAATCCGGCTCCCTGCCGTGACCGCGTGCAGCCGTGCCCCCCGTGACTGGACTCCCGTGTCAGGCACGGGGCCGTGACAGCCGTGACCAATCCGTGGTAACCCCGTGACCCCGTGCAGCCGTGTCCCCCGTGACTGGACGCCCGTGTCAGGCACGGGGCCGTGACAGCCGTGACCAATCCGTGGTAACCCCGTGACCCCGTGCAGCCGTGTCCCCCGTGACTGGACGCCCGTGTCAGGCACGGGCCGTGACCAATCCGTGGTAATTCCGTGATCCCGTGCATCCGTGACAGCCGTGACGTCCGTGACAGCCGTGACTGGTCACGGGAAATCTGTCACGGGTGACACGGGCGTCCAAACACGGGGGACACGGCCAAGCCACGGTAAAGCCACGGATGGCCACGGCAAAACCACGGATGGTGCACGGGCCCACGTGGTCTTCCCGTGACAACTCGTTCTGTGAGTGTTGCGCCACTGGTGCCGACGCTGCTGTGACGTATGCCGTGTCGCACCAAGAAGGACGGCATCGGCCCTTTGCGTGTATCCAGTGCAACGCCACTCGTCGTGGCCTCGGCGCACACCACAGGCGCCGCCCACAGTGCGCTGCATTGCGTGGCCTCCGACTTGTTGCGCGACGGCGACCGCAAAGACTCCGCGCCAGTGGCAGGGTCGCCGCTGCGTGGCTTTGGTTTCGCAGCACGAGAGCCTGCGTCCCATAGCGGCAGCCGCTCAGGGGACAGCGGCGTGCTCGACCCACTGCAAATGTGCGCTGCCCACACATCAACAGGGGGTGCCAGTGGCGGTTCAGACATTGGCGCTGCAGCGAACAGTTGTGAGAGCTGCGGGTTGGCGCTGTTGTCATGGTGGGACAGGGTCGCAGGCATGATTGAGACAGTGGTACCATCTTGGGCTTGCAACGGGCGTTGCTGGCTTTGGTGCTCAGGCTGCTGCTGCTGCTGCTGCTGCTGCTGCTGCTGCTGCTGCTGCTGCTGCTGCTGCTGCTGCTGCTGCTGCTGCTGCTGCTGCTGCTGCTGCTGCTGCTGCATGTTTGCCGCAACTGCCTGCTGCAAGCTCAGCGACGGCTCCAGCGGGGCGCACCGCCCCCTGGCTGCCAGGATGCTCTTTGCCATGCGAACACGCATTGCCTCGGCTGGGAGTTTCACTCCTGTGTATGACATGCAAAGCGGAAGTGAGTCGCGTTCATTCTGCACACCACACAAGTCAGGGGCGTGCCTGCTAACAAGCCAACTCTAAGAAGCACTGGAAGTGCCTCCCTTTGTGGGGGTGCAACAACCGAAACCCGATGACCGCAGGGTGCGCGGCAGGGCTGCCTGCCGTCCAGTGTGCGGCCACGATGCCCCTTGTGACCAATACAGCTCGCTGCAGCGAGGCAAGAGGACGGACACTGCCCACCTTTCCGCGCCGCATCGCTCGCGCCGGCCTCTTCCAAAGGCACCCTGTCTGGCGTGAGGTGCGTCAGGAAAGGGTCCGCCTCCACCGGCCCAGATGGCGCCAGCCGCCGAGATATAAACGGGTAGCCATCCAGGAAGGCCAGGCTGGCGCCCAGGCCGGAGAGGCAGTCGTGGCCGCGGTGCCAGAAAACGGCGTCCCCTCCGCCGCCGGCGTGCCGCTGCCACGCAGCGACCTACAGGTCGGCGAGCGCGAGAACTTTGCAGGTTGCCGGGGTCGCGTTTGCGAGGAAGGAAAAGGAACGAAGCGAGTGCGGCGGCCCCGTCTACCTCTGAATGCCGGCCGCACGAGCATTCGCTGAGCAGTTGCTTCACCTGCACCCCCCCCCCCGGCCCCCCCTGTCCGGCTCCATTGTCCAAGATTTGCACTTGTGCCAGGCGTGACGCGTGCCTTGTCGGCGTCGACCGGTGCACGCACCTCCTCAACAAGATCCAGAGTGCGCGCCCGCAGCGTGGCCACCATCCGGAAAAACAGCGACGCCAGGGGGTCCGACACCACCAGCAGCGGGTCAAAGCCGCGGCCGCAGATGCTGCCGCCACCACGACCGCCCACCCCTGCAGCCGCCTGCGCGGCAAGCTTCGTGCAGCAGACGCTGAGCTTGTCAAGCGCATCCTCGCGGGCGCGCACGGCCTTGACCACGCGCAGCTCCGACTCCAGGTCGCGCAGCTGCGGCTGCTGCTGGTGCTGCTGGTGCTGGTGCTGGTGCTGCTGCTGCTGCTGCTGCTGCTGCTGCTGCTGCTGCTGCTGATATTGCGGGTGGGGCTGGTGTTGCTGATGCTGGTGCAACGGGTGGGTTTGGGACGCCCTTTCCTGTGGGTGGTTCTGGAGCTGGCGCCGCGCGGCCGCAACGCATTCGGCGACACTGGCGGCGAGCGACTGCGGCGGCGGGCGCTCTGTGGCAGCGACGCGCGCCTTCATTGCTGCAAATGCGGCGTCCTGTGCCGCATCATCTACGGCCGGCGGGTTTGGGCTTTCCGCAGCTGTCAAGCGCGACTGCTCCTCCACCGCATGTGCCAGGTGGCCGCGTGCATTGCTTGATGAGATGCCGCCGTGCATCTCAATAGAGCATTGGCAGCTTGGGTACGACCTGCGGGCTTCGTCGCCGGGGGCTGCAGCGCCTGCACAGGGGTCCAATGGCAGGCGCGGGATGGCTGCACTTGGGCGCCCCCGCGCCGTCTGCGGTTAAGCCTCCCGAACATGCTGCCGCGCGGGCTGAGGCAGCCCCCTGGTGGTGCCTACTGCCGGTGGCGCTGCAAATTGCAGCTTGCCCGGGTTGACTGCTGTCGTGTGCTGGCCGTTCGGGGAGGTGTGAGGCTGCGACGTCGGTTGGAGCAGGCGGCCGTACTTCTGCAGCCAGTACTCCTCCCTGCGCCGCTGCTTCAGCAGAAGAAACTCGTGCATGCGCCTCGACGCGTCCACGCCTGATATGCAGTGCGCCGCCGCAGCCCCGCGGTGCCGGGTGCCGGGGAAAGGTAGCATTGGGGCCTGCTGCCACCTCTTGGGAGTGGGGCCCGCCTTGCTGGTGCTGGCAGGAGCAGCATCCTGCTCCCTCCTTGTCGGCTGCTGCGCGCCTGTGGCTGTGTGCTGTTGCCTTGAGAGGCTCCGACGAGCACTGGCTGAGCCCGCGCCTGATTTTGCTGCTGCCCGTGGCGTGATTACGGGGAGCCTCGCGGGACTTATGCTGTTGCCGCCCGTTTCATGGTGGTGGTGGTGGTGGTGGTGGTGGTGGTGGTGGTGGTGGTGGTGGTGGTGGTGGTGGTGGTGGTGGTTGTGCTGCTGCTGCTGCTGCTGCTGCTGCTGCTGCTGCTGCTGCTGCTGCTGCTGCTGCTGCTGCTGCTGCTGCTGCTGCTGC